TTGGGTGGCAGCTGCAAAAATTTGTGTGCCAGATGAGTGTACAACCTCTTCTTTGAAAGATACCGGCAAACTTGAGTGAGGCGGAGGGAGAGCACAAAAATGGTGCCTGCTGGCCTATGACTTTCAAGAGTGTTTCAGTAGCCCCTAGATGCATATTAAATTAGATGCCTTCCCCTCAGGCCAATGCTTTAAGATCAGCAAATAGGCCTCTTTCATAGAAAGTCTGTTCACTTTTCAGTTGGCTGTCTCTGTACTCGGCCCTGAGGGGTGTGATTCCTCATGCAGAAGCCCTTTAAGAACTGTTCCTCAGTTTGCTATTGCCTGTGGGTCTCATAGATGCAAGCCCTGTTGGCTTTCACAGTTAGGCATTTGGGGGCTTGTCTGTCAGGTGCAGGTCTTAAATGTTGGGGTGTCAGAGGTGGGGTTCAAATCCTTCCTTCCTTTGGGAGAAGGTCTGGGTTGTGAATTCCCTCATGATTGAGAATTGCCACATCAGTGGTGGGGTCTATGGTGAGATTGTGACTCAGCCTCTCCTATTCACTTCCTTGTGGATTGTTTTCACCTTCCCCCAATGTGAAGGAGCTGCTCACCTAGTATTTGATTCTTTTTCAGAGGAAATTATTTTGCATGTAGATGCAGATTTGGTGTGCCCCTGGGAGCATGTGACTTCAGGATCCTCTTACATCACTATCTTGAACCAGACCTCCGTTTATCTTTTGGTAATCTGATTCTAATATATGGATCTCTGAAATGTGTATCTCATTGAGTTTCCTACTTGGAGCTCACTGCGTATCTTGATTGTAGTTTAGAGTGTTTTCAAAAAAATAATATTTGAGAAATTTCCTGCTAACATTTTAAAATTTTTTTTCTATGCTTTTCTGTTTCTCTTCTATTTCTAGAAATCCATTAGATATTTAGTGTTATGCTTGATGATGTCCAATAGGTCTCTGAATGTCTTTTTATTGTTTTGTATTATTTTTTCTTTTTATTCCTCAGACTGAATAATCTAAACTTACATATCTTCAAGTTCAGTGATTATTTTTCTGTCTGCTCATAGCTGCTGATGAGCTCTTCCAGTGAATTTTTCACTTCAGTTTTTGTATTCTTTAACTCCAGAATTTCTACTTGATTCTTTGTTACAGCTTCTATGTCTGTATTGATATTGTCTATTTGATACATTGATCTTACACTTTTCTTTAGTTCTCCATACATGATTTCCTTTAGTTCTTTGAACATGTTTAAAATAGCTGATTTAAAGTCTTTGTCAAGTAAGTGCAATGATTATGCTTCTACAGGGATATTGTTTTTCCCCCCTTGTGAATATATCCTATATTCGTGTTTCTTTGCATATCTTATAAATACCTTTTGGTCAGAAACTGATCATTTAAAATAGTATAATGTGGTGACTCTAAAAATCAGATTCTTTCCCTTTCCTGTTCTTGTAGTTGTTGCTGTCTGTTGTAGCTTTTCTTGTTTGTTTAGTTTATTTCTGAACTAATGATGCTCATTTGCATTCTTTGTTGTGTTTGTCTACTAATGTTCCTGCTCATTTGGTCTAGTAGTCTGCTAATGTTGTGCAGAGGTTTCCTTAAATGCCTCAGCCTAGTGACTCTCTCAGTCTTTGCTGAGGGAAAGTCTCTGTGTGCGTGTTGGTCTTATCTTCCATACTCATCCAGGCAGTGCTGTTAGACTTCAATTCCTGCTTGCACAGAGCCACAATCGTAGCCATAGGTAAGGATGAAGGCCTTCTCAGGCCTTTTCTGACATGCCCACATCCGTATGCATGTGCTTAGACTTCTAAATTCCAGGAATATGTCAAAGCTTTCAAAGACTCTATGGATAGCTCATTCCCCACGTTTGCCTTACAAGGTTTTAATTAGTCTATTTGTGTCAATTATTATCCACTATCTCAGAAAGCCCTGAAGTTAAACAATTGCCTGTAATAGCTTTTGTCAAATTCTGCTGGGTAAAGGGCTGTTCATAGTGGGAGAGCTCCAAGTTTAAGTCAAATACAGACTCTATTTCAAGTAGGGTCTTCAGGGGTACCACTAGACATGTCAAATCCTAACAATTTACTGGGAATGAGGCTTTGAAAGGGCTGTCTCTCGTGGCTGCAAGGCTGCTGGAGTTCACCAAGAATACAGACATTTATTTTTCAAGTGTACAGCACTGCCAGAGAGCAGAGAAGTGACTAGGAAAAGTTAAAACACAAGATGGCTCCCTGTTCTTATTGGGGTTAAGCCATTTTTCTTGAATAAATGCTCCTCAGGTTACTGCAAGCCATTAGTTAATTTCCAGTATTCTGAAAAAGTTTCTAAAAGGTAGGCCAGTTTTCTCACTGCTTTTATGAAGGAGAGAATTTTTGGAGGTCCTTACTCTGACATTTTCACTCTTCACATTTTAATATACATTGTAAATTTATTAGTTATTTTCTAATTATAGCTAAAGTTGCTCAGCATTTATATACTTTTCCCTAAATGACCCATTGAAACTAAACCTTATCCTGCTATGACTTTTTAAAGTTTTAGTTCTATTTATTTTTAATAAAAATACTAATTGTAATTATTTTTAATCAGAAAATAAGTAGTTGAATTATAGAGGAGGAAGGAAGGAAGAAAAAACAGATAGTGATGACTAGTGTGCACCTGCTGTTGTCTCCCTCTGTCTCCAGTCCAGCTCTGGGGCTGCCCTGCTGCTGTGTTACAAAACATTCATGGCTGGGCAGGTGGCTCTTCTCTTTCACCCAGACATGGTGTTCAGAAAAAAGACCATAATTCAGACCCTGTCCTCCAAACTCTCCTTTACCTAAACACCCAGCCCTCCTCCTGGGGATACACGTTCCCCTCACATGATAAAGTGGCCAATCTCTCTCTTGCCAGGGTCTTTCACAGTCATGACTTGAATTTCTCAGAATCTACACCCTCCTTTTCCTCTAGAGCACATCCACAGCTGGGATGATATTGTCAGCTTGTGAGCACATTGCCATTTGTTAAAATATGACCTTGGATAAGTTATTTGATCTCTTTGGACTTTCAGGACGCTCCTTCATTAGTGAATGATTGCTTAGATAATATGTTGTTTTGAGGATTTAGTTAAACATATATTGTAGATTAATTAAAAGAACACATGGAAAGCCTCTGGCATACAGTAGATATTCAACAAATGTATTCCTCACACGATCCTCTCTCAACTGGGGTGTCCTGCCCTTTGGAATTCCAATAAAATAGACATTACCATCTACCAACTCCCTTGGAGGTCCAGAGAATTACCTACAATTTCTATGACTTCCTAGGAACTTATTTTCTCCTGGCTCAGATCTCTTATTCTTCCCGTGATCTCAGCTCACTGAACTCGACATTTTTCTTCTACCTGGCCCTTCCTGACACACACATTATGCTGCTGTAGATCCAGGTGTGCCCTCATCTAATTCCTCAAACATTCCTGGCATCAGGTAGTTATGTGTAGCACACTCTTACCAAAGGTTCTGCAGCTAGCATGTGAGCTTGTTTGTGTGTTAGACCTTGGCACAGGATGGCTGGGATGTAGAAATGAGGTGTAAGCAATTAGTTTGCATAACTCAACGATTCTCACATGAAGAGTGCTTTCACAGGAGGCATAGGGACAGAGAGGAAGGGGACCTATGAGACTTGCTCCCCATCACCCCGAGAGTGACTAGTGGAGGAGCTGCCTGGATTTTGACTCCACACAAGAAGTTCCAGACCTCAAGACTCATGGACTGCCTTTGGAAGTGATGTCCTCATTACAAGGTGGGGTGGGGGAATCAAGCCAGTGTTGAACGTTCTCTTGTCTGGGATGCTGCAGAGCAGTTTAGGGGTTGAACAGACTGGAATTAGGTGACCTGCTTGAGGCCACACAGTGGGATTGGACAGCTGTGATGTTGGGGATTTTTTTCCAGAGTTTGTTGTTAAGAGTGCAGACCCTCACCCTTGATTTGCTGTGTGACCTTTCACAAGTTGTACAACACTTTAGGGCTTGGTTGTCACATTCAAAAATGGGTTACTATGCAGTGCCCTGACTAGCTTGAGTGCATGGTCATGGGGCCAGTGCTGCAGCTCCAGCCTTGGGGTGTTCTACGTGGGCAGCGGAGGGGGAAGCCTCGGTGGGGAGGAGAAGGACGCACTTCTCAGGAGTTAGGAAGATGGCGCTGGTCCCCTAAGGTAGGGGAGGCAAGAGTTTTCGGATGTTGCAAGTCTCCAGTCTGGGGGAAGAGTCCGGGGCCTGACCATCAGTAGGGGCAGTGAGTCTGAGGCAGCCTGGGGCTGTGGCCAGGAGGATGTGCAGGTCTCTGTCCCTGCTGCTCTGTGATAGTGGGAGCAGGGCTGGCAGAGGCTTAGAGGAAAAGCCTGGTTGTGATGCAGCTAAGAGCCTGTCAGTTTCTGTAGAGGTTAGTCTACGCCCTGTGTGGGGAGCATCACTAGCACTAGTGGCCGCCGAGAAAGCCATGTAGGCGCAAGCAATAGGCAAACGGCAATATGTGCATTGGGGTGTAGGGATTTGACATTTCCCACAAAGAGCTTTGCTGTTTTGCTCAGAGCTTCTTACTTAGGTGACTGACAGTTGAAATTTGTGGAAATCCGAATGGAAATTTGACTCATTAAGGTGAGGCTTAGCCCAGCCAGGCTCTAAAAGAGTGACCTCTGAGCTGACCACACTGACACTGGTGGCCAGGGCTGCCTGGGGCAGGCCGTTGACCGGAGAAGCAGGTGAGGGTTTTGAGTGGGTGTAGGGCTGGAAAGTGTGAGATCACTACAGGGAGGGGACTCTGCAACACTGGGCCAGGAGGATCATAGAGTGAGGCTGTTTATAACTGGTTCTGAAATTATGATTGATGTCTTACTGTAGATACCAGGGATGATAGGAAAGAGCTGAATGGCTTACTCTAACTATTGGGCTGTGATCCCAGAACTAAAATTTAGCTCCGCCCTTGGGGTGGGGAAGAGAGCAAAGGGCTTGTCTGAGTGAAGCTTTTCCTCTGCTTTTGTCTCTGCCTCCTAGACGCTTCCTCTGCAGCGGAACAGGCTGGCAGGCAGCCTGCGATGGGGCCCTGCTCAGAAGACCCCCCCCTCTGCTGGGCCTCCTGGCTCCTGGGCTTCAGCAGCCTCCTCCTCAGTGAGTGGTCCGGGCTCCTGGGAGGGAGGGCAGCGGGGTGGAGCAGGGGGGCAGGGTCTCCCTCCCCTGTCTGCTGTCTTTGGTGAACAAAAGACAAAACAACTCTTATAATTTAGCAAATGTACTGTCCATGGGTGAACAGAAAGAACAAATGGCTTTTTGGTTGCGTGGAGGCTGGGAACCCTGAGGTCCCAGCAGTGCTGCCTTAAGGGGACCATTACCAGAGAGGCAAGGCCACTTCTGCTGCAATAACAGTGAAGCCAGGGGAGCCTGGAGCTCTCCAGGGATGAGGGATGGAGACAGACAAAGAAGCTGCTCCTGGGGACAGAGTGCGTAGGAACCAGGCACCCCTGGCCTGAAACTCAGAGGGGACCTGCCAGCTTCAGCAGCTGTCGTGTGGAAGAGAGGGCTGACCTGGCACCACCATGTCAGAGCTGGAGGAATCAACTGTAGTCTGGGCTTCTTGGGCTTCTCCTCTTCAAAAGGAGAGTGAACGAGCAGTGCCCGCCTGGGTTTGGGGCTCAGCTCCAAGCACCAAGTAGAGAGTCCCTGGGAGTCTCAACTTTAACTTCAAATTACTTATGAATTTTGCATTTTACTACAGTGTTAGTTTTCATCTTAAATGTTAAGAAGTGTTTATCTTCGGGTAAAGTGAATCCTCTAGGAGGATGCCTTTTTCCTGCCTGTGGGTTGCATCTCCCAACACCACCAATGCTGTTCAAGTCCTGGAGACCCCAGACTGAAAGCAACATTTTAGAGAAAAACTCTGGAAAGAAAGGAGGTACCCAGCAGTTTGAGAATGATTGAATAAATTGGGCAGCATCTGTCCCATGGAATAACAAGGAGGAAAAAAAAAACTGAATGACTGGTTGTCTGGGTGGGATTTCCAACTTCCATGAGGTCGGATATGTGGATTTCCATGAGCAAGATGCGGGACATTGAATACCATGAAATTCTCATTTTGTAAATGAACAGGAGCCTCGAAATTTAAGGGTGTCTGTGTATCTACGTGTTTATAACTGGAGAAAATGTGGAAAGAAACAGTAGACTGCTAAGGTGGGTTCTCAGGGAGGGTGAACTTGGGGAGGAGACAGAGGAGGAGGAAGTAGAGAGGGGAAGGGTTCAGCAAAAAGGGAACTGAAAGGAACACTGTGCTCAGGACGGCCGGATATCTCATCTATGACTTTATCGGAGATTTTATGTTTACGTATAATGAAATTAAGGAAAGAAATAGTGGGAAAATAACAACCATTGAATTAGGAATTTAAGTGAAGGCTGTGAAAGCTTTCATGGTTGTAATTTTTTGTGCTAATATCCCAGCCACTATACGAAGTTGCAGGGAATTATATGAAATTTACTGGATTAGAGAGCATCTGTACACAGAATGTCTTGAATTCGTGATGTGCTTTGCGTTAGACCCCTTTAACTAGGTAACGTAGTGTCAACAGTAAAATGTCTGCTTTCTCCACTTCTTCAATTTTATTTAACTGGAGAAGTTTGTTAAATTATATAGAGTTTTCTGCAAAGGCCCGGGGTTGTAAGATTATATAAATAGAAAGAGAGAGAGAGAGAGAGAGAGATAAAGATGGGGGTGGGGGAGGAAAAAAGGAGGAAGGGTCAGAAAACTGCATAACATTTTATGGTGATTTTTGAGTGTTAAACTTTATATTGTTTAAATGAATTTTAACTCTATCTTGTTTACCACCATGCGCTCCCCAGTCTTTATTTTCTTCTTCAGGATTAGATCCTTTGTGGACCAGAGAGCTCTTGCTGCCTTCCTTCTCTTTCTAAGAATTCGTCCATCTTCCTCACAGCTGGTGCTCCCCACGCAGCTTCTGGGGCCAATCCTCCCGCAACCTGAGGGCTGAGCCACCTCTCTCCCTGGGTCCCTCCTCTCTAGAAAGTGGGGAATCTGGCTGGGCTGCTGTTTAACCCTCCCCTAGCCAGAAGCCCCTGCTCTGCTACCCCTCTAATTCTTGCTTCCCTTTCCCGGGAGAGGGAAGTTGGAGGGTGAGACTCCGGGACCTGCTCAGATCCTGGCATCAGACAGAGTGCTGGTAGGGAGGAGCCTGGGGAGGGCAGGGAAAGGGTGGGGGAGCTGGTGGGCAGCTCCTGCAGGGGAGAGTACTGGGCGGGAAGAGAGGAGACCCAGGCTCCAGGCCTGGCTCTGCTCTGTGTGACCCAGGACAAGGTCACCCACCAGGGAGCCTCCTCCTCTGTGAAAGGAGGGCCTGGGCAGATCCCCTCTAAGGGGATGATATTCCTGAGTCCACCCAGACAGGACTCTCCTGTGGCTGCTTCAAGGCCGCTGCTCTCTCTCTTCATCCCCCCCTGTCCTATTCCTGTGGCCTGACAGTGATGGCCAGCTGGTGAGCCTGTTTAGGGCACCTTCAAAGAGAAGACCCCTGGCAGTCCCTGTGGTCACTTCCTCAGCTCTCCAAGGAGGGAAGGAATCCTCTTCAAGCCTTGTGTTTGGGATCCAGCCTGGCCCTCTGTTTTTCCTGTCAACTGCTCCTGAGAGGGGTCTCCAGACCACCTGGAAGGAAGTCATCTCCTTCCCCCCAGTGTGTGCAACACTGCAAACCCTGCTCAGGAAAGCTCACTGCAGCTGTGCTCCTCAGAAGCGGCTGACTGAGAACCTCGGCCAGAGCTTCTCAGTTTCTGTCTGTGGAGCAGAAAGTATCAGCTTCTTTCTCTCTGTTTCCCCGGGCTGACCCCCTCTTACCAACGCTGGGAGAAATAGACAAACACAATGGGGTCAGAATTACTGTGAAAATCACTTAGGAAGGTGCCACCCTGGCGATTGAAATGCTGTTTGTCAGTTCGTCCATCTGAGCAGCTCCCCATTGGAACAGGATGTTTCGCTGAGCCCCAGGTTAGATAGAGCACTAATGATTAGTGTCCATTGCTGTGTCCAAAATTGCACACTTCAATGTGTGATGAACTCTGAATGCCTTGATTGGCTGAGGTGTTAAAGAATGCTTTAATTTCACTTGTTAATTAATGAGGGAACCGGGAGGCTGTCACAGCCTGTTCCAAGAGAGTCTGAGACCCACACAGGCCATCAGGAAGCTGGAATGAATGTACAAACAGAAACCCTGTGTTTACAGAGTTTATGGCATTTGTGGCTATGCAGAGAAAGGTCTGGAAAGATACAGGTCAATAAGGAGGCTTATCTCTGACAGGAGGCACTCTTGGAACTTTTACTTGAATCAACTCCATAATGCATAAAATAGTTTTTTATGAACACATAATACTTTTAAGATTATAAAGCAACTCACTAAAGAAAGTGGAGAATGCCCACACCAAATGCAGTTGATAGTACTAATTTTTTCAACCCAAGCTTGGGATAGCATGTAGCCTGTCCTTCCTCCATCTTTACCACTCTCCCCTGCAGCACAGATGTCTTCAGGTACCTGATAACATAGGAGCTGACAGTGGCCATGGAAGCCAGCTGCTGTCTACACAGCAATAAATTTCCTTTCAGTCTGAGGCCTTTGGTAAACAAGAAGGCCTTGGCTGGACTTTGACTCCCTATAGCCGCCTATGGGATTGCACCCACGGGTGTCTGAGCCCAGCCCTGTACCCAGGGCGAGACCCCTTAGAGGGGCAGGTAGGGGAGAGGAAAGGGCACCATCCTGGCACCTGGGAATGTCTGGTTCTGATCCCAGGTAGGCTTGGTCAAGAATCATCATCATCGTAGTGAGCTGGAACACATTTGTGGATGAGTTATCGAACACTGCTGAGAGCTTTTATCTTCTTAAGTCCCCACAATGATTCTGTGAGGTGAGCACTGTCATCATTTCCATTTCACAGATGAGAAAGTGAAGGCCAAGAGGTTGAATAACAGCTCAAATCTCACACAGCCAGGAAATGGAGACCTGGCCTCAAATTTAGTCTCACTGGCTCTGAAGTCCAAGTTTTGGACCATCTGTTGTACTAGATCACCCAGTCTGACACTTCAGGACATTTCAATAAAACATACTTTGAAGTGGGACTGAGAGGCTGTGAGGACGCTGTGGGTTTCATGTGGTGCAGCTACAAGGTGGTGGAGCCTCCACCACATATGACAGGCCCCCTCCCTCCCTCTCTCATGGGATGTGTGGTGTAGGATACAAACTCCCCTTTTAAGACCCTGAGGCACTGTAATTATTTGTTACCACAGCCCAGCCCTGACTACTACACTGCCTGGAAGGAAGGGGAAGGGAGAGCAACCTTGTTATTGTATTAGTTATCCATTGCTGTGTAACCTGTTACTCGAAAACTTGTGCCTTAAAACAATACCTTGTACAGCCTCACAGCTTCTGTGGGTCAGGATCCAGGGGTGGTTTAGCTGGTTCTCTGGCTCAGGGTCTCTGAGACTGAAATCAAGGCTTTGGCGGGGGCTGCAGTCAGCTCAAGGCTCAGCTGGGAAGAATCTGCTTCTGAGCTCACTCGTGTGATTGCTGATAGGATGCAGTTCCTGTGGCTATTGGACTGAGGGCCTCAGTTCCTCCCTGGCTGTTGGCTGGAGGCTGCCCTCAGTTCCTCGCTGTGTGGGCCTCTCCACAGGGCAGCTGACAACATGGCAGCTGGCTCCATCAGACTGAGGGAGAGAGAGAGAGTGCGAGAAAGACGGGTCACAGTCTTGTATAAGCTCACATCGCTAAGTGACATCCCATCACCTTTGCTGTATCCTGTTCCTTAGAAGTGAGTCACCAGGTCAGACCACACTCCAGGGCTAGGTGGTTACCAAAGGTGTAAGCATGAGGAGGGAGGGGTCTTTGGACCCACCTTGGAAGCTGCCTCCTACAGATATGCTCTTAGTATGTGTCAGAAAATGTGCAGGTGCTTTTGATCCTTGAGCTCATTTAATTCACACTTTCATTTTGAGGCAGGTACGGAACCTGACTGCAGGTTAGCACGTTTAGGTAACCTGTTCAAGGTTACACTCCACTGGAACCGGGACTTGATTCCAGAGTTGCTTCAAATTCATTGTACTAGGCTGCCTTCCAGGAATCAAAGGAGTACATTGGATGGATTTCATTAAAAAGATGGGTCCACTTTTTAGCCTGCTGTCATAGTGCTTAAGTTTGCACACTCCGCTTTGGCATCCAAGGGTTCACGGGTTCAGAGCTTTGGTGCGGACCTACACACTGCTCATCAAACCATGCTGTGGCAGCATCCCACATACAAAATAGAGCAAGATTGGCACTGATGTTAGCTCAGGGCCAATCTTCATTTCCACACACAAACACAAAAAGATGGGTTCTGTGATTCTCTCTATTATTCTTGATCAAAGAACACTCACGTTCCTGTTTCCAATGCCCTAGGTGTCTGCAGCACTGGGGTCAAGAGTTCTGGAGCACATGGTGCTGGAGTTCAGGATTCTGGATCCTACGTTTCTCTGAAGAGGATCCGAGGAGGTTCTGTGTGGTTTCATGTGATCAAGGAGCCAGGAACTGAGCTGGAGGAGATCGTTTGGGCCTTTGGCCCTGCCCTTAAATATCTAGTCATGCTGAAAGTCCGTAATGGGGCAGAAGAGACTCCAACCTGGGTCAAACTACAGGACAAGTACATGCAGAGGGTCCGTGTGCCCAACATGACGTCCCTGAGGATTGAGAACTTGACCCGTGAGGACAGTGGGCAGTACCGGGCTCGAGCCAGCTTAACTGGGGGAATGGAATCTCACCAGATTTTCGACCTCACTGTCTATGGTACGTGACACCCCCTCACCTCAATCCCATGGCTATGACCTTCTTTGGTGCCTAGGAGTTTCGCGTGGGCACCATTTTGCAGGACTCCTTCCTGACAGCAGCCTTCAGGCTCTATTTTCCCCCTTGAAATTAGGGTAAGTGGGTTCAGCACAAATGGAGAGCAGAGCTGAGATTCACACCAGGGAAAGAATCACTTCAGTGTTTTGGGAGATAAAAATAGAGTTATGGGGGAAATGGAATTTTTGCCGTAATACATTGTTCTTTAGAGGATTCAATTGACTTAATTTATGTGTTAGTTTTCTATTCCTGCTATAACAAATTATAGTGGCCCCCCTTATCTGTGGAGGATACATTCCAAGACCTCCAGTGGATGCTTGAAACCGTGGATAGTACCGAACTGTATATATAGCATGCTTTTCCTATACATACATACCTATGATAAAGCTGCATTTATAAATTAGGCACAGTAAGAGATGAGTAGTAACTAATAATAAAATAGAACGATGATAACACTATACTGTAATAAAAGTTACTATAGATCTTTGCAACCTCAGCATATGATTTTTTTCTTTCTTCATTAAGTCAAGAACTGTCACCTTTTCACTTAAAAGAATTACTTTATGTCTTCACTTTGGCATATCCGAGCGTCACTACTCTTGATCTTTGGGATCATTATCAAGTAAAATGAAGGTTACTTGAACACAAGCACTGAGACACCATCACGGTAGATCTGATAACCCAGCTGGCTGCTAAGTGACTGATGGATGGGTAGTGTATACAGTGTGGACATGCTGGACAAAGGGAAGATTCATGTCGCGGGCAGGATGGAGCGGGATACCGTGAGACTTCAACACATTACTCAGAAAACTATGCAATTTAAAACATGACGACTTTATTTCTGGAATTTCTCATTTAATCTTTTTGGTGTGTGGTTGACCGTGGCTAACAGAAACCTGGGAAAGTGTAACCGTGGATGAGGAGGGACGGCTGTACTACAAACGTAGCGGGCTAAATCCACACAACTGTGTTCCCTTACTCTGCTGTGTGTAGGTCAGGAGTCAGACACGGGTCTCACTGGACTAAAGTGAAGGTGTTGGCAGGGCTGTGTTCCTTTCTGCAGGAGCCACGGGAAAAAACATTTTCTTGTCTTTTCCACCTCCTGCTGGCTCCCTGCATTCCTAGCTCTTGGCCACATTCGTCTGTCTTCAAAGGCAGCAATGGCGGGACGAGTTCTCCTCACACTGCATCCCTCTGACTCCTCTCCTTCTTTCTTCTACTTTTAAGAACGCTTGTGATTACATAGGTCCCATCCAAACAATCCAGAATAATCTCTCTATTTTAATGTCAGCTGATCAGCAACCTTAATTCTATCTACTACCTTAATTCCCCTTTGCCATTACCTAACATATTCACAGGCCCTGAGGATTAGGATGTGGACATCTTTGGGCGGGGGGCACTGTTCTGCCTGCCGTAATTCAGAAATCACGTGTAGTTCATCCTCCCTATTCCCTCTGCTCTTCCTCAGCCCCAGCCGGAGGCCAGCCTCACTCACAAAATCCAGCCCTAAGAACTTCCATAGACGTAGGAGCAAGTCTAGCCTGCCACACTTCTGAAGACCTCATTTAGCACCTCTTTCTTTCCCTACATTCCTCTCCATAGAGAAATATCCTGCTACGGAGAGTGGCTTTGACAGCTTTAGGTCTCCATGGGATTTCTATGATGTCTGGAAAATATGTCACTTCTCCTCCTCTGTGTACCACAAGTTCAGTGGCATGTTCTAATCACACTTGGGGGTGTCGTCCCTAGTCATAACCACTGCATCTCCCACATCTCTCCACTTTGGGGCGCATGGGGCCTTTCTTGGGACTCCCAGAGCTGGCCAGACGTCCTTGTTCACTGTGGGCTGTGTAGTCCAGGCATCATCTCAGCAGGAGAAGCAGAGTGAGAGCCCTGGACCAGGACATGTCCTTCATTCCACTTCTTCTCCTTCTGGGAAAGACCCAATTTCTAAAAATAGTGGGCCTTGGGTGGGTGGAGTGCTGGCTTTATTTTCTTGTGGGAGATTTTAAGACTTTCTCAGTCTAGTGCAGTCACATAAGGCTTAACTCAGTGGCTCCCTTCCTTCTTGTCTCTTGCAACATATTTAGCTTTGGGTAAATTTTATTTCCTCTATAAAATGTCTCCCCTTCCTAGAGGGAGGAAGACAGAGCTTCAGTGAGATAGTGGATGAGAATGTGCAAATTGTAGTGTTTTCCACTCATGTGTGACTCCATTCTCTTGTCCCTCCCACCCCAGAGCCTGTGCCCCTTCCCCAGATCCTGGTCCAGTCAGTGTCTACCACAGGAGGCTGGTGCAACATCACCCTGGAGTGCAGGGCTTCAGGGGTCACAGAGGACATGAACGTGACCTGGGAAAGCAAGGACCTCCCAAGGGAGCTGGAACCAGCCCGCAACTCCTGGACCCTGGCTGTGAGCCTGCCTCTGAGCCCGCCCAATGCCAGCCTCACCTGTGTGGTCAGCAACTCGGAGGACCAGAAAAATGTCACCACATTCCTTGGGACACTGTGTGCCCATGGTGAGTACAACATGCCAGAGGTGAGGCGCACTGTCAGAGCTCAGGAAGCTCTGGGGTCTGAGGATTCTGGGCTTTTCTCCCCACCATGTTTATCAGCACCACCCCAACCTGGCCACCCCCTACAGGAGTCTGGAGGCACATCCAACTTGTTTCTGCTCTTAAATGACTCTCACGTCTGTGCCTCTCACCTCTTGCCCCTGCTGGTGGGCAGCAGCTGTCCAGCACCTCTTCCACCCAACCCGTCCTCCACAGGGAATGCAGAATGGTCTTCGGGAAAGAACCTGGAATGTGTCATTTGTCTGTGTCGCCTGAAGGGTTTGACCTCCAGGGACTCCCTGTAGGATTCAGGGCTCTGATGCTCCTGTGCCCATGTTTTGGTCACTGACACTCACACTGACCTGTTTGCTTGGAGTCCCGAATGCCTTCTGCAAAGTTAGAGCCTCTGGATGTGCTGTTTCCTCTACCATCATTCCTCCTACCTTTTCCTTCATTTCTTGCCTTATTCTTTCTTTTTTTTTAGTTGAGGAAGATCAGCCCTGAGCTAACTACTGCCAATCCTCCTCTGTTTGCCAAGGAAGACTGGCCCTGAGTGGACATCCACACCCATCTTCCTCCACTTTTTTATATGTGGGACGCCTACCAAAGCATGGCTTTTTGCCAAGCGGTGTCATGTCTGCACCCAGGATCCGAACCGGCGATCTCAAGGCTGTTGAGAAGCAGAACGCGTGAACTTAACCGCTGAGCCACTGGGCTGGCACCTCTTGCTTTATTCTTATTGAAGGATTTCCCTCAGGCATGGCTGAGTTCAGTAGCATGTGTGCCATGCTGTCACACAGAGCTCTGTGCTGGGTTTAAAGCTCTGTGGTGGCCATCTTGAAATTTCTAGCAGTCTTTGAACACAGGGCTCCTCATTCTCATTTTGCACAGGGCCCTGCAGGGTCTATAGCCATCCTGCCCTCCAACATCACCTTTGAGGTGGGTCCCTGGCCCCCTACTGAGCGGCAATGCTCTGTATTCTACCTGTCTCCTCCAGAGCCTGGAGCACCTTGAGAGCAGGGGCCCTGTCTTCTTCTCCTCTGAATCCCTGTGCGAAGCACAGCTTCTGGCACAGTTTGTTCTGCATGTTCCGTTGAATGAACGGATGACGTAGTAGCCCTGAGTGCAGCCTCGCCCCCCCTAACCTACCCTGCATGAGCTGGTGGAGGGATCTGATGTGTCAGCATCACAGAAAAACCCCTGTGACCCTACCCTCACCTCCAAACAGGACCCTCAGATAAAGTTCAACACTCAGCGTGACCCACTAGACCCTCTGAGAGCAGAGTCCTGCCTCCCTCTGACCTTTCTTGTGCAGCTCCTTCCTGCCCTGTCCTCTCCTGCCTGCCCCAGTGGGGTGCTGGGGACTCTCAGGGGCTGGCTTTTTGACACAGTCATATCCTGAACATGGTGCTCCTCCCTCCTGGAATGATGAATATCTGGTAAACTCCTATTCCTCCCTCAAGACTCAGGTTACCCATCACCTCCTCTGGGAAGCCTTCCCTGAAGACCTGTGTACAAGGTGTAAACTGCTATTGCACTGCGATCCCTCTGGCTGGCAGACTTTGTTATTCTCTCAGTCTTCCCTGCTGGGTGACGAGCTCCAAGGGCGGGGACCAAGTCTTGTCCATCTCAATATCCCAGGCAGCAAGCAGGAGCTCGGGAACTGGTTGAATGAATGAATCTCTGTGCTCCTGCCTCTTCGGCTTCTGATCCAGGACCCTCAGACTTCTCTACCTGCTCTCTCTATCTCTCCTTAGCAGTGGGTATCTAAGTTCTCTTGTGCCTTAACCTTCTTCATTCTTTCTGCTTGAGGGGAACAGATTCACAGGGACAGGCCTCAACAGGCACCCTCAAAGCCATCCTTGGGGCCGTCGTGGCTGTGCTACTGATCCTCGGTGTTGGACTGTACCTTTGGAAGACACATGAGAAGAAGAAGAAGATGGAGATTGGAAGAGGCAGGTTAACTTCTTTCTGGCCCACATACCTCCCCTGCCCCACTTGACCCCTGGCTCCCTTCCTCCTGCATTTTGCTGCTCAGGGAATGCCCTTGAGCTTCATAGCAGTGGGGGAGGGTACAGGTTTCCAAGGCCCAGATTCCAGCTCCAATCTATGTGTGACTCAGGTGCAGGACTGCAGGAGGAACACAGGAACCACGATGATGACATCCAGTATGCAGAGCTGAGCCTGCAGGAGTCTCGAGGGGGCAGGGACAAGGTGAGAGCTGGGAGCAGTGCCCATTTGGGCTCTCCCACCCTCTGTGGCTGAGTCTGAGCATTTCTGGCCCTTCTGTCTCTAACTCCTTCCTGATAGTCACTGGTATTTACTAAGAAAATTTACAACTGGGGCCAGTGTAGTGCTGGGCACTCTGGGGGAATTCACATGCAGCTCACGTCAGCAGCATTGATTCCCTGTGGGTCCCTCTGGGATCTCTCTATCCCTCTGCTGTTCTATGAATCTTCTGTCTCACATTCCTAGGGTATGGGTGAACGACGTCTACAAGAAAAGGAATCTCTCACTACTGTCTACAGTGAGGTCCAGAAGCCAGGCCCGGCCAGGCCATGAAGATAAAGAGAAAACAGGAGAATCAGCATTCCTAGGACACCTCCACACTGAGCTTGATCCCTGCAGACACCTGCCTCTTCCAGCTCTGGTCCAGCTCCGGCTGCTTCTGGTCCACATTCCTCTGACACTCATGTCTTCAACTCCCTAGGCTTGTGTAGCCCTGTCATTTCCTCTGACTCCTACCTAAGCTGCCCTCCCACTCAGGACCCTCACTCCTGCAGGACAAGTGCTCTTTCCCTGTCATTGACTTGGCTCCTGACCCCTCTCCTCCTGAAGATTCCCCAAAGGAGACCCTCCTGATTGTGCTTGTGTTAATCCCTACAACCTCTGCTGTGTGTCTTTCTGAGAACATGAGCACAAGTGTGGGGACTGTGTAGACATGTTGACCAGACCACAAAGGAGGGAGTGAGGCCCTTGGTGCCAGATGCTGAGTTCGGGATTAATGGAAGCAGCACGGGTGGGTGGGAGCCCACAAAGGCAGTGACTCGAGTCTTCCTTTGCAGCTTGTGGAGGGCTCCCTTGGGGGTGTTGGGCAGTGTGTGTGTGTGTGTATGTTGGGGGGAGTGTCTAGTGTACGTTACATACTGGCCTGAGCACTTGTTCTTGGCCACCTGTGTTAACCTGGACCTCGGCCTCAGTGTCAGCCCATGGATCCCAAACCCACTTTCCTGTGGAGTGGGAAGAGGAATTTGTACTGTTTCAGGCCCTTTCAATTCTTCTGTTTCTCAGAAAATGACTTCAGAGGCCCAAAGCTGGGAGTTGCCCTCTTAAGAAAACAGCTTCATCTCTTCTCCTACCTTGGATAGGGGCACTTGGTAGTTGGAATGGATGTGCAGTGACCTCCCACCCTCCTTGGTGGGGCTGTTGTGGGGTGCGAAGCTTGTCGAACCAGCTGTCTCCAGACTCTTCTGCTGACTCTCAGCCCCCCACAACCATGCTGGCCTCAGCCCCTAGGTCAGCCCCTCTTTGCTCACTGACATCCCTGTGTCTAGAATGACAGTTCCCTCTCCCTGTTCCTTGCTCCCATCCCTGTCTGTTGAAATATTACCATCCTGCCTGAAGCCTCCTTCCAAGTCACATGTTCTATGGATCCTGTCTGGTCCAAAGGTTTGGAAATGGTCTCTCCCATGTCTGATATTTTCAAATGCTTTGGATGTAACTAAGGTCATGGCCACAGTCTGTCCTGGATTAGTCATGAGTCTTCCCTGCTGGACTAACCTGGGGCTCCCTCAAGAGGGTGTCAGGGCTGTAGGAGGCCAGGAACAAGAAAACAAGTACCTGTCTCTGTGAAGGGTCTGGGCCACCCTTCCTCCCACAGGAGCTCAGCAGACTGAGACCAAGAGCACAGAGGCTGCTGCAGGTCTTTCTGGTGGTGGGTCCATGTGGAAGCAAGAATGGATGTGATGACCTCCCATGACCCTGTCGATGAGCTCTCATGACTCTCCCTGGCCCAGAGATCTGAGGTGGGGACTTCCCTACTCCAGCTCCAGCCTCATGTTGTCTGAGGACCTGATTCAGCGTGCACTGTTGTGTGTAGGAGCTTCTCTCCTCCATGCGAGTCCTTGCCTCCTGAAAGCTTCTGCCTTCTGCCTTGGATCACAGCTCTTGGGTCAGAGATGGACCCACTGGTACTATAAACTGTGGTACCTTGTCTCTTGCCCTAGATTCCTGGGTCTCTTGGTTTCCCTCCCAGTCAGCTCAGATCAGCTGCTTCATCCCTGACCTCAGAGCAAAGTTCTGAGCCACAGGCTTGAGCATTATGAAGCAATGCTAGGAGCCTGCTGGATGGCGCATGGATAAGGGAGGAGTAGTGGGATCCATAAAAAGACTGTTTCTGACCTCTTTTCCCTTAAGCTGAGCAGAAAGCTGAGAGACAAAAAGATGACATCTCCTCACTGGAATTTTCTCTTGTCATGCATTGACCCCACCTCTCCATTGAATCTGCTCTTGTCCGGGTTGTCAGGAAACTCCGGGTTGTTAACTCCAATGGTCAATTCTTAGCCCTCATCTCCTGTGACCTTTCAGCAGCAATGGACCTATACCTCCTCGAAACACTGTCCTCGCCTTGCGTTCCCCACTCGCCATTCTTTTCCTCCTACTGAGTAGCTGCTCCTTAGTTTCCTTTATCAGTTTTTTTCCAATCTCTCCAACCTCCAAGTTCTGGGATATCCCAGGGCTCATACCCAAACCACCCAGACCACCTCTCTTCACTACCTGCACTCATTTTATTTCTGATGTTATGACCACGCACTAATCTCTGGAACCTGTGACATTATGACCTTATGTGGCAAAAGGGACTCACAGATGTGATCCTTCCCTGGACTCCACATCATAAATTCCCAACTGTTTACTTGACATCTCCACTTGCATGTGTAACAGGCGTCTCCAGCTTGACACGTCTAAATTCAGACTCCCCAAACATGCTGCCCATACAGTTTCCCATCCCTAAAATTGTCACCTCAATCCTTCCGTTTGTTCTGGCCACAAAACCTTGGTGTCATATTTGACTTCATTCATTTTCTCATACCCTACACTCTATCAGCAAATACTGATATCTTTTCATTCAGTACATATATTCAAATATTTATATATCCATATATATTGATACATATATTCATAACAAAATACATCTCACCTCCCCCCTGGCCCCAGGTCCATTTCTCACCTGTATTATTGCAGTAACCTCAGTCTCCCTACTTTTTACTTAACCCCTTAACATCTGTTTTTGAAATATCATCCAGAGTGGTCTTTTCAAAACCTAAGTAGCATCGCATTACTCCTTAGCTCAGAACTCCCCTTGGGTCCAATTTATCTGTAAGGCCCTGTACCATCTGACCTGATCTCTCTTGCTCCCCTCCTCACTTAATTCACTCTAGGACACTGGGCTTTTTGTCCTTCCTTCAATGCACCATGCATGCTCCTGCCTCAGGGCCTTCGCTCTGCCTAGAATTCTCTTGCCCCAGCTGTCTGCCTGTCTCATTTCCTGACCTCCTTCAGGTCTTCTACAAACGTTATCTTCTCGGTAGGGTCTCCCCTGACCTCCCTACTTAAAGCTGCAAACTCCTCCAGGCGCCATCCTCCTCCTCCAAACTCTGTTTTTCCTCATTGTTCTTCAAAAGGCTGTGAGTCAGGGGGCGTTTAATCTGGGCTGTAGTTTAAAGACAATGGGAATGGAGGCCTCAAAGTGTAAACTGCAAATCCTATTATGCAAATACCATTATTCTTCCCAGGAAACTGCAACACTGATACTTAATGAACCTGCTCCAGGTCACATAACTAGGAAGTGGCAGAGCTGGGATTAAATTTTGGAGTTGGATTCTAAAGCCCCCACTCTTGACAGCTGTACACTGGTTAAATAAGGTGTAGTCTGTCCACATGGTGGAGCACTATAGATGTAATAAGAAGGATAAATTGCATCTTTACATATTTAGGTGGGAAACTGCCCCTGAGATATTAAATGAGTTAGCAGACAGTATGTATACTATTAACCTGTATTATGAATATATACAACCATATTTTTATGTTGGCATAAAGGAAGTCTAAAAGCTGATATGTCACGAACTTAACAGTGGTTATCTTCTGGCACCTGTTTCTTTTTCTGTATCATCAGATTCTCTATAACACTTATCAGGAAAAAGATCATCTATTACAATTTTTGAGCAGGGCAGTGACATGAGCAGGGCCATGTTTCAGACAGATAACACCACATATGTGCCAACCAGAAGCACATCATCTTGGAAAGTCGTTAAAGTATTTATGCTCATTTTCATTTTCTATTGTGTTGAATTGATGCCTTCGGAATCTTTATTGAAATAATCCTAAATATTTCTGGATCTCTCTACACAGGACAGGCAAAGAGAAAATGGTGGTCTAAGTGATTCAAATGGACACTCCCCATGACCCAGCTCACCAACCTGGCTGTTCATCAGATCAACTGGAGAGCTTTTAAAAACAGAAGCCTGGACCCTACCTCCAAACTGGGCATCATCTGTATTTTTAAAAACTCAATAAGTCATTCTGATGCATGACCAGGATAGAGAACTAAAACATTGATCTACATGAAGCCTTCAATAAATTCAAATGGGAATGCACATGGCAAGGAGAAACTGAGTTTGTCTTTCAAGATGGTTCTCCATGTGTGCTCAGCACGCAGTGCAGGAAATGGTGCTTGAGTGAAAGAATGAGTGAATGACGAGATCCCATGGGTTGGAATTACTTTGATGTGCTCACCAAGGTCCAAAGTCTGACACACTGTAGAGGAGGAAGACATTTCCTCTACGCACTGTGGGTTCTTCTGGCCAGAGAATGAATTAAATTCACATGAGACAGAACAAAAGGAGAAAATTAAACAAGGCTTTATAACATGTATACATGGGAGAGGTTCAGGCAAGCTGAGCAACTTGCCAAAATGGCTGAAGTCCCCACCTCAAATATCATCTGAAGCTAATGACAAAGGAGGTTGTTGGGGGTGGAGGGGGAGTTGATCATGGGAGATTACCACAGAAGTACAGTAAACAAATGCAGATTTAAGTCCTTGCCTTTGGCATTGATTAAGAGTTTCTAGAGTTAAGGTCATCCTCCCTTCTTCCTCATACAGAGAGGGAGACACCTATACAGATGGAGATATCCTTTACAATGTAAATATCTCCTAACAAAGGGCAAGCAAGTTCCACTCCTCAGAGCCTCCTTCCCATCTGCAGTTTATTAAAAGTAACCAGCCCCAAATAATCCTCATGCCAAAGAGACATATCTTGGGGTGGCCAATGCCAGTACCCCACAACACAAACCCTGAGCCTGAGCCCAGAAGCTCCATTTCATCCATCGCCCTGTGTGATTTGCCTTGGAGATGCAAAATCTTGCTAACAAATGTCAAAAGACACTGATAGGCAAAACCAGAATGCTGATTTATTAATTTGTAGTAAGAGGCACACTTGCTAACTGGGCTGGATGGTCCTGTTAGCCTGAGCAGTATGTTTTCTCCCAAAGACAGGCCACATGGGAAACTACGTTGTCACTGGGCTGCCTGGGGAGCCCTGAGTCAGGACAGATGAGTAGACGCTGCTTGTGTGGATGCCGATGGCTTTCTAGTCTGAGCTCTTCATCTCCATGGTGGGACGTACCTGCCCAGCGCAGGGGACTCTCCTGCCTGTCTGACGGAACGTTTGTCTCTGTCGCTCACCTCTCTTTATGCTCCATTTCTTATTCGCCCTCCTCGGATTGACATACTTTTCTTTGGTCATGTTCATTTGTGAGATTAAGTCTTGCCTGGGTGTCTGATCTTGAATGTCTGTACCTCTCCTGTGATCCAGGTGTATGATGTTTTATTTAATCTCCAAAAACAAACAAACAAACTAAAAACCAAAGAAATACACACACTTATTATCTCTCATTTCCCAGCTGTAGTGGAGAGATTGGAGGGAGAGGGGACCCCCTCAACATACTGCATACCACCAGCTGAACCACCAAACTGCTTTAGCAAACAGACCCAGAAAGAAAAGCCATGAACTGAGCAATGGAATTCCACAGCTCTCAGGGCCAGAGTCTTCACCTAAGTTATCACAAGCCTTTCGGTGAGATCCTCTCATATTTACAGCACCAGAACCAGAATAACAACTAGAAAAACTAAGAGAATGTAATATTAATTAATGTCCATTCAATTTAAAAATCTTTACGAAATTGGCAATTTCTAAAAAAAGTATGGATTGCTAAAATTGATCTACATGTGTGTGTAAAGCTCAAAAAATCAGCACAGAAAATATTGTAAAACTTATTTAAATATTTTCCCCTTAAGAGCATAAGAGCCACATGCTATTACAGGTAGATTCCTTCAAACATTAAAAAATAACACATTTGCATGCCAACAAATGTGTTTTAAAACTTGGCAGAATATAGAAAGTATCCATTTATGATTTAGAAAACTTGACAAAGCACAAGAAAAGACAGAAGGTCCCAGTGCAGTTGTCTGGCTGCTCAGGTGCCTCTCTCTTCCATTCTGCTGGAAACCCTTCTTGTGAGCTGAATTCTCGGTTTCCCAAGGAGCCTAAAGAGAGAGGCCTTTTGCCAGCACCGTCCACAGTAATGGGGGTATAGAGTTCTAGTCCCTGTCAGGTAAGAAACGCAGCAGAGCGAGAGGCTTCTGGGTGACGGTCCTGGGACTGGCCATGCTCCCTGCGGTGGGCTGGCTCAGTGCGAGCCCTCCACTCCACCTGGTGGTTCTGGGAAACTGGGATGTTGGGGTTTGCAATAATCCTATGTGATTTTGCTGCAGAGAGTTTCCTAGAATCTAAGAATGCCCATGTTGGAAGCAAACTCACTGTGGAGTCCTGCTCCATCCTCTGCTTTCTAACAACCCACCAGGTGACTTTGCCTGTGGTTACATTCCACCAGTGACAGGGACCTCACTGTGTGCCAAAGCATCTATTTCATTTTTGGATGACTCTGAGTACAGAACTCTCTCCTCAGATGTTGAGTCAAAACCTGCTTTTATCTTCAAGTTTCCGTCTTCAGGTTGTTTATTACAGAGATGATTCCTTGTCCACTTAATGGTCCTTCAAGATGGATTTAGGGCAGAGCAGAGACAAACATCAGTGCCTGGCATAGCTGTTCTTTGCTCTTCCTAAAAGCCCCGATTCCACCCATCCCCCATAGTTTCCTGGGTCACATGCCAGCCTTTACTGTCTCTGATTCATGTCACCTGGTATTGTCCCAATGGCTGGAGATGTTGGATATCACATTTCCTGGGGGTGATGAGCACCAACCTACCGCACTCCCCATCTCCTGGGAAAGGAGTGTCTCAGGAGCTGGGCACACTCACCCTGCTGGGCACTTTCTTGATCAATAGACTTCCCCAGTGCCGTTGGTGGCAGTGTTCTGGTCCACATGGTTGCTGACCACACAGGTGATGCTGATGTCGGGCTGGCTCAGGGACAACCTCACAGCCGGGGCTCAGGTGTCGGGGGCTGATGTGGTGTCCCTCTCTGTTCCAGCTCTCTGAGAAGGCCCTTGCTCTCCCAGATTGTGTTCAGGTCCTCTACAGCTCCCGTGGCCCTGCATTCCAGGTGACATTGCCCTAGCCTGGTGTGATGGATGGTGTCAACCAGGATGTTGGGAATGGGTATTGGTTCTGGGTTAAGAGATGACAAAATAATTATACTTGCATTTGTGGATCAAATTTTTCATCCATTATTTCATTTTGTTTCAGAGCGCCCTGCTGAGAATGGAGGGCACTTCACAGCTAAAGAAACTTAGGCTTGTAGAGATATAACAGCTTGTTCAAATTCATATAATGAGAAAGTGATACAGAATCTCAGTTTCAGAGAGGAGAAAGCAGCCAATCTATCAACTCTCTCCACCACTCACACCCCAACCCCAAATCACACAGCTGGAATCATACCTGCTTGCCCTCCACACATGCTCAGATCCTTCACAACCCCCAGAGCACTTGGAGGCCGTATAAAACTTCTTGGGCAAATGCCTTCCAATATGCAGAATTGTCAAAGCAGGGTCTGGAAACTGGTTTGAAACGTTAACCATCTCTTACGCAAATGGCAGATGTAAAAAGGTTAGGATTTGGGGATAAGGGGGAAGAGAATTTCCCTAGAGAGAGCTGTGCTGCTGTGAGTCCCCCTAACCCAATGGGTGCCTGCCCCTCACCTCGAACACGGTGAAAGGGGCTTCAACGAGGCCCTTTAGAGGGGTGGACGTGTGTCCCCTGCAGCTTGGGGATGCACTGGACAGGGGTCTGCTTTACACCTGATAAACCCAAGGGGAGAAATGCTGCGGAAACAACCCACAGTAAAGCATTGGCTGTCAAGGGGGAAGAAGTTGCATCGGGATCGGTGAGTCAAATGAACACACTTTTCACCAACCAGAGGTAGGAGCGTAAAAGATCTTTGACAACAGGGCCATCTGGAGAGGCAATAGAGCTCCAACGGAGAGAGTCTGTGTGGAAATGGAGCAGCCAAGACCAAGGGCCAAACAGAAAGACTTAAGCGACCATCCTGAGAGTCCATTAACTGTGACAAGGTAGGCGAGAGATCTCCAGCATGGCAGAGGAGGGATATCCAAGGAGCCTATGAAAACGCCCTGTGAGAGAAAGAATCAGCCTAAACACTGTCACACCCAGAGAACCCAACTGCTTGACTTCAACGCAGGAGAAGCCACGAGAGGCCTTTCCTGTTGCCTCCAAGCTTCATCCTCTTTGCTGCCCCGCTCTCCCTCCCTGCCTTGTCGAGGTGGAGAGAGCTCCAGCTCTTTGCTGTTCTCTGTCATCCTTGTGGGCCTTTGCCAGGGAACTGTGTTCTGGTCTCTGGGTCTCCCTATCTGCCTCTGCTGCGTCTGCTGCTGATAGGGCTCTTCCTGTTTGTCTCAGGCCAGTATGAGCGATGCTGCTGATGTCCTTGGTCCGTGCCACAGCCTCTCATGGTGAGGTCCCTGCACTTGGACTTCCCTTATCCTGACCTCACTCACCTTTTGGCCTGTGACCCTGTCAGAACTTTGTCTCCCCTAGAGGAGCTCATGAGAACCTCTGAATCTCCCCAATATGGAACCCAGGCTGAGAGAACTTCTGGCAATTCTAGAGCCGTTTTCTGTATAAACACACCATGCCCAGATTTCTACTAAGCACGGCTCCCTGTGAGGAGGCACTCCCCTCCAGAGAAGTGGTAAGTGGGAGCCAGGCTCCCTCACTTTTGTGTTCTTGCTCATCCTATCTGGAGTTCCTATCACTGGCTTGCTCCCACCCTGCCCCACAGCCCTCTGCGGTCAAGCCCAGAGGCAATAGCCTATCACATCTTTCCCAAGTTTTCATCAGTCTCATCCTTAACGTGTTTCTTTAATGCTTACTTCATTTCAGAAATATGTATAAAACCACTCTCGTGTCTTACCTGGTGTGTTTTTTGTTTGTAACTTGCTGAAAGAACTTTATTTTCTGCATCTACAGTCATTAGTTCTGGAGCACAGAAATCTCTTTTTTCTATCAGCAAAATATGGCTCTTGCCTGTTTTGGAAGTGGAAATATGGACACGGAGTTTGCATTCTCAGTGGGCTTCCCGTCTCCGCCTGAAGCCACGGCTGCCTCGGCCCCATGTGT